GCGAGTGGGAGTGGGGTCCGTGGGGTACCACAGGAGTAAGCCTTTAGGGAGCCCCCCTTGGGAGGAGGGAATATGGTGGAAATCTTTATTTCCATGGAATTACACCGCAGCGTTTCCTAAGTCCCATTGCCCTTGGTCCAGCCATAGGAGAAGTGTAGCTGGGGTTTCGGTACAGCGAGAAGCAGAGCCGGTGGCCAGAGTTTCCTGTCCATGTTGGAGCGGGTCCAGTCCAGTCCAGCACCAGCGTAGCTGCAGCCATCAGGCCAGTGCCTGTGGGGCCGTGAAAAATGTGGGCAAATACCGGGGAGCAGGAGCAAGACAGCCTCGCGAGCTGGGAGTGAATCACAATGTGCCCAGAGAAGGGATTTCTCTGGCAGCGGTTCTCAACCTTCCTAACGCCGCGACCCTTTAATACCGTTCATCATGTTGCCGTGACCCCCAATTTCATTGTTACACATTGAACATCATTAAAGCTTAGTGATTAATCACAAAAACAAGATGTAATTATAGATGTGTTTCCCGATGGTCTGAGGCGATCCCTGTGAAAGGGTCGTTCGACCCCCAAAGGGGTCGCGACCCACAGGTTGAGAACCGCTGGTTTAGAGGCTTCTAAGTCCCCAAACCGCCTCAGGCTTGCAGTGACCACGTGCCTTCTGGCCTCTGGCCTGTGAGTCCCCAGGTGGCACTGACAGGAAGTACCTTCCCCCCTGTCCCAAACTTGCGGGGTCTGCGTCTCTCTTCCCTTTGTCCAGCCCCCTCGCCCAGTGTTTTGCAGGGAACATGCCTAGATGCCTGGCCTGCCCTTTGCTCCTTGTCTGTTATTAATAACTAGCTAATTCCCTTGGCATCATTTCCTCTTCTCTACCCAGGACCCCTGCTGTGCTCTTGGCTATAAATCCTCCCCTCCCCCGCATTGGGAGCGGAGCCCCTCTCTCCTCCCCTTGGCAGTGGTCCCTGCGCCAATGATGGCCATAGCCCCATTCGCGAATACAGCCCTACTGTGCTTCCGGACGCGGCGTTGAATATTCCTGTAAATGTATCGCTTTCTGATAGCTCTGTGAATAAAGAAAATGACGCAGTTATGGTATAGTCAGTCATTAATGACTTCATCAGCTAATGGGGCGCCATCCGGGCGTGTGGATTCACCCCAAAGGCCTTGAACTTACAAGTCATCTAATCAGCGGTTCTCAACCTGTGGGTCGCGACCCCTTTCGCGGTCTAACGACCCTTTCACAGGGGTCGCCTAAGACCACCCTGCATATCAGATATTTACATAACGACACATAACGGAAATAACTTTATGGTTGGGTCACAAGAGGAACTGTATCTAAAGGGCCAGAAGGTTGAGAACCACGGCAATAGCCGCGCAACAAGAAGTGAAGCGGAGACGGGCTCCGTCTGCCCCGCCTGTGAACCCGGGAGCCGGGCGCCCTCAGCCTTTCTGCCTCCAGCGCAGCCACGCCGTCAGCACCCGGTTCCCAGGCCCCGTCTCCGCGCAGGAGCCGAGCGCGGGTCCCCCCACCGCCCACCGCCCACGGCCCCGAGGCCCCGCCCCCGGCTCTGGCGGGTCACGTGTCCTCAGCGAGGAAAACAGACTTTCACTTAAACTCTGTTCAGCCCCCCAGCACTCAGCATGGCCGGCCTCACAGCCCCACCGCGACTGGGAACCGCCAACACCGAACGCCACGTCGGGGGAAGCAGCCCTGGTGCCGGGGCCACGGAGACGCCCACTGGGTACCCACGCGCGGGGCCCGCACAGCGCCGGGCAAGAACGGCCCCCGGGAAACGGCCCGGGCGGGGCGGGGCGGGCGGCTCAGGCCCCGCCCCGGCCACGCCTCCTCCGGCCACGCCCACCCTCGCCAGCAACGTCGCCTCCGGCCCGCCTCTTCCTGGCCGAGGCCCCGCCCCTTGCGTCACATCCGGTGGACGCGGGGGCGGGGCGGTTTCCAGAGCGGAAGTCCCTGTACGGTGAGTGAGGTCCGTCGTGGGCGGTTTCCATCCGTCCTCCACGACCGGGACTGGGCTCCTTGTGCGTGTCACCGGCCCCCGCACGCACCCGTCCCTTCCGCGGGGAGCCCCACCGCCCCCAGAGGCCTGGGGCTCAGCGCTCGGGCGCCGCCTGGAGCCATTTCCGGCGCGGTGTCCGTTCCCCCGGGGATGTCATTTCTCGCCCTTCTGCCCCCTCGCCCCTCCGGCCGCCCCTGGACACCGCGCCGGCCCGGCCCTGGAGCTGCGGCGCCCCAGGCCCCCTTCGCGGTCGCCGCCTCCCGGGCCCTGTCCCCGGGCTGGGACGGGGGACGCTGCCCTGGCCTCCTGTGCTGTGCCCGCCGGGGAGCATGCGGGGTGCGTCCGCGCCCAGCGCCCCGGGAAGGGCGGAGGCCGCTGTGTTCCGCGCTGTGCGTGTCGCGGGGGTCGGTGTGGGGGTCGGGGAGAAGAGGGCGCCACCGAGGCCCCGGGGCGGGGAGGTGAGGGCTCCCAGAGGGAAGCCTGGCGGCGGCTCCGGAGGCTGCGGTGCTGTCGGTGCGTCCAGGGGTCTCGGGTCAGTGTCCGGTCAGGGCATAGCCCCAGCTGCGTCCAGGAAGCAGCCGAGCCGTGTTTCCCTCTCCCTCCCTCGCTCTAAATTCCGTGTAAGCCGTGCAGCGTGGCCCAGTGGCTGTGTCACCACGAACCGGGAGGTCACGGGTCGCCTCTGGGTCGGATTCTGGGTCAGGGCACGTGCCGGGGATGCGGGCTCCATCCCCAATCGGGGGCGCGCAGGAGGCAGTGGATCCCTGATGCTCTCATCATGTATGTTTCTCCCTCCCGCTCTTCCCTTCTCTCTGTAATCAATAAAGGTATTTTTTAAGATTTCAATTTTAAAAAGCATATCCTGCCCTAACCGGTTTGGCTCAGTGGATAGAGCATCAGCCTGTGGACTCAAGGGTCCCAGGTTCGATTCCGGTCAAGGGCATGTACCTCGGTTGTGGGCACATCCCCAGTAGGGGGTGTGCAGGCGGCAGCTGATCGATGTTTCTCTCTCATCGATGTTTCTAACTCTCTAACCCTCTCCCTTCCTCTCTAAAAAATCAAAATATATTTTTAAAAATTAAAAATAAATAAGCATATCCTCAGGTGAAGAATTAGTAAAATAAAAAAGGAAAAAGATTCTATTTATAGTAACATCAATGCAGAAATTGATTATTTGTTCTGGGAATTTTTAATATTTCAAAGCTGGTAGAGTTTTGTAGTTTTGGGGACATTACCTTAATGTGAACTGAAGAGACCATCCGACTCTGTACGGGCTACTTCTTGCTTGGTAGTGAAAATGCACATTCTAGCCGAAACCGGTTTGGCTCATTGGATAGAGCATCGGTCTGTGGACTGAAGGGTCCCAGGTTCGATTCCGGTCAAGGGCATGTACCTGGGTTGCGGGCACATCCACAGTGGGAGATGTGCAGGAGGCAGCTGATCAATGTTTCTCTCTCATCGATGTTTCTAACTCTATATCTCTCCCTTCCTCTCTGTGAAAAATCAATAAAATATATTGAAAAAAAGAAAATGCACATTCTAATCTAAACCGTAAAAATGCTTCCCTTGAATGTATAGTTATTCAGCGCAAGTGCTTACATTTGTGTAGAATCAGACCGATGCCTACAGCCTGAACCTGTGTTGGCAGAGTACCAGTCCTCTTACAGATAAAGAGCTGAATACATCCTCTTTCTGCTCATGCTCTACAGTCCTGCCCAGAACAGCCAGAATCCACAAAGTAGGGACGAGCCATGCAGGTGGCCTTCGGAGCTTTTAGAGGTGATAACAGAGTAAATGAGACAGTTTGTTTCCTTAATTTCATCAACTTGACTTATGCAATAAGAAGGAAATTAACTTCCTGACAGAGGTATTCTTGACAGATTTACTGGGTTTGTTCTCTGCATGAATCGGGTTTGTTAGATTATAGCACTGATGTGGTGATCAGCCCCGTTGAAAGAGAGCCCACCGCCAGAAGGCATATCTTCCAGAGAGGAAGGGGCTCTCAGCTGGGGTGCTGGGGCAGCGTCCTTGGTGAAGGTTGAGCTTCATGGATGTCCTGTCTGTTGGGCTCTGGTGAGTAATAGTGACAGTTTCACAAGAAGGGACAGACCTTTATTTTATGAATGAATTTTTGTGAAGGGAAGTGTTCATTTTGTTGGGAATTTATTGAGGGGATTCTTGGGAATTGCCATTCACACTGAGATTGAAGAAGTAATAATGTGTTGGGAAATTGTGTTTGTGAATTTGGGTGGGAATGAAGAATGATAATTGTGAACAGTGCAGAAATGATAGCAGTACTTAATAGTGTTTGTGATGTTCTGAGTGAGTATACAACATTTCAGACTTTAGATGTCTGGGAGAGACATTGAAAGGAATGTGGACTAGATAGAGTGATACTTAGGGGAGATAATATCCTGAGACATATTTCTATTAAAGTGCATGTTAGCTTGAAAGTGGAGGTGAGAGTGCAGAAATGGACCTCAGACATGAGCTTGGTCGCTTTAGTTTGGAAAAAGTAATGGAAGAAGCTGGGTAAAAGCGTGCATCAGTGGGAAGGGATGAAGGATTAGCGTGGAGCCTTGTAATCTTCCTGCAGTATTGTTTGAGTCCTTCTCAAGTGATGCGGAGTTGGGATGAGTATATTAGTTTCAGGCCATTCGTAGGCTGACATGTTATGGAACCTAGGGAAAAGTAAACTCAAAAGAAGTCATATTACACTTGTTATTTGGTTCCCAGTAAAAGCCTGAGGCATGTACGTTGCGTTTATTTATGCCGATGTCATTGGTGGTGATGTTAGTTAGCCAACTGGTGTGGGGGTATGAGCTTAAGGCAACCGCACCTTCAGCTTTTGGTTTGATTGTAAAGGTGGGAACAGTAGAGAAGGACCATAAGAGGAAATCAGTTCAGAGGAGGTTTTAGTTTGAAGATGCAAGAGATTTGATAGGTTTAAATGATGGGGGGGGGGGGGGGGGGTTGGGGAGGATGCACTGTGACAAGAGCGGGAAGTCGCTTGTAAAGGAAATAAACATTTTAGTAAATAATACAAGGTTCCTGACAAAACAGAATACAAATGGTTCCATTGGAGTCTAGATGGTTCTTCAGTGTAATAGGAGAGAAGGAGTAACTAAAGGGTATAAATGCAGGAAAATTTGTACATCTTATGGTGTTAAACCCAGGTAATTTGTCGACTTATATAAATCCACTTGGAAGGAAATACCTCATCTATTGAAAGTGAGGGGAGGGTGAGAATGTGTGAAATTAAAGGCATGGAGAGCGTTAGCAGTGTTTTGGGAGCATGGAAGATCGGTTAACTAACCAAGACGTCATTCTGAAGCCACTGTGAGAGGTGACTCCTGCTGTCAGGCAGCCCTGGAAAAGGCACTGTGTGGGGGTATTCTTCCACAGCTGTGGCGAACGGTCAGCAGGAATAGGAAATGATGTTGGTCTTACGGAAGACCTGTTGAAACGGGTAGCCGAGTTACACTGGGCAGTAGAAAGGAGAGTGGAGGCTGAAGTGTGGGAATTGGGGCAGTGCAGTGGTTCCTGTGTGGTACAGAATACCAGCATGGGGAGTAATTTTTTGTGAAAGAGCAAAAAGGAGAATGCATTGCAAAAATAGGATGGGTCCTCTGAATTTTCTTTTAATTCTCACAGAAGGATATGTGTTTATTGACTTTTAGAGAGAGAGGAATTGGGAGAAAAAGAGAGAGAGAACATTGATGGATTGCCTGCTGTATGCACCCCAACTGGGGATCAAACCTGCAGCCCACGTATATGCCCTGAACGGGAATTGAACTCACACTCTTTTATGGAATACGGGACAATGCTCCAACCAACTGAGCCACTCAGAGGGCATGGGCCTCTGGATTTTAATGTTGAAGGTACTGTTCCAGATGTGCTGTGTAACCCTTAAGGAATCTCTGCCTAAAAGGCAGGTGGAAGCAAATGCAAATTATATGTGTCCTTTTCTAACGTATGCTTATATGCATTGTATATGCTAGTATTTGTGTAATTTTTGTCACATTACTAAAGTTTTCTGAGCTTCTGATCATGTCATTTATTAACTTTATAAATAAACCATAATCAGCAGGGTTCCTTTGAAGAACAAATAAGCAAATGTATGTCAGTCTCTTTGCACAGGATCACATGTAATGAAGCTTTACTGTTACAAGTTACAAATGGGTGAGTTACACCTATTTCTGTTATGACTCATTACCATCACTTGTTTATGAAATACACATAATTAATGCTGTTTTAGGGGAGGGTTTATACTTTATAAATGCTGTCTCAGGCACACTGAAGTGAGATTGAGGAAACTTGCAGCTAATATGACTGGCAAAGGGCAGGAGCTCAGCTTCCACTGTTCTAAAATATCAGATGGAGCAACAGAATTTCCTATTAGAATGCTTTCACTCTGTATTTCCTAAGGCTACTGCCCTGTGAGGATCGTCGATCATGATGGTAGTTATGTAACCCCTGCCCTCACGCTATTATCTGATGCAGGGAATCTTCAAGGGTAAATTTCAAAGTAGATTCCATTGGCTCCACTAAATGAAATAAGTCAACCCATCAATGAATTGATGAACACTGTCATAAAATGTAATCTTAATTCTCTTGGTGCATAACTGAATTCCTGCAGAACAAAGCTAAAAGTCAGTGTTGAAGGATTGATATTTCTGGAAACCTCACTTGGAGAGGACAAAATGATTTAGGACAAAAGTATCTGGAGGGCCAAGGTCAGGAAGTAGGAATGGACTGAGGCACCAAAAGGCAGGTTAGAGTTGGAGAAACATTGCTGTGTGCAAACTAAGAATAATTAAACCTGAGAAATTTCCCAGTTGTTATTGGAGGTGGGACACCTGTGGCATGAGTCAGGGATCTCTGTGTTTTGGCCTCAAGAGGGAATTGGAAAATTCTGAACACCCTGAATTAATTCGCTTACCACACTCCTCTCTAAAGTAAAGGTGTTTGGGTCTTCTTTTGACCTGGTAGAGGAGAGCTCTCCCGCTGTTCTCTCAGCAGACACTGCTGTTTCTGCTGGTTGGGCTGGCGGCTACTTCCAGGTGAAGCTTTCGGGCTTCGTGACAGTTGGGTCTAGAAATTGTAGATAAAGAAGTTTCATGGCTTCTTTCTCCTCCCACAGCTTTGCCTCCTGTTGCTTGGACTGTGTGTCAGTGAAAACCCAGAAGACAGTTGACAGCTGTGCTAGTGACAATGGCATCAAGGGTGAGTTGGGAATTACTCTTTCTACTGAAATGCATCTCCATTGCCAGGAAGTGGGTATATTTCTCCTACAAGCATGGATTTTGTGAGTACACGCGAGACTTTTCACAGATCTGTTAATTTTCCCCGGTACTCTGGAATGTTCATGTTGGGTCAAGGACGCATTAACTGGCAATCTCTTTCCCATCATTACACTACGATATCCCAGCCTCTAGTAATGCTGTGTATTTATAGGAGCAATGAGAAAAGTTTCACTTTCTCATCTAATTCATGGCTTCGTTAGCAAAAAATGTTACACATTAATCATAAAGGGTGTCCCAAAATTCACCCAAGAAGTAATTTTGATGGAAAGCACAGATTTATAATTAAAAATTGTGAATTTTTTATTGATTCATAAAAGTATATAGTATAGGGTTATGTATGGAATAGCATATCGGGTAAATGGCCTCCACGGCGTTGCTGGCACATACGCACTCTTTTGTTATTGCCTGAGCAGCCGCATTTTCAAAGAAGAATGTTCTGCCGAAACCGGTTTGGCTCAGTGGATAGAGCGTCGGCCTGCGGACTGAAAGGTCCCAGGTTCGATTCCGGTCAAGGGCATGTACCTGGGTTGCGGGCACATCCCCAGTAGGAGATGTGCAGGAGGCGGCTGATTGATGTTTCTCTCCCATCAATGTTTCTAACTCTCTATCTCTCTCCCTTCCTCTCTGTAAAAAATCAATCAAATATATTAAAAAAAAACAAACAAACAAACAAAGAAGAATGTTCCGATGGTGCCTCCTGCCCAAAATCTGTACCAAACAGTGACACGTTGTGGATGCATTTGTTTCTCAACAATCACTCGTGGATTTTCTTAACCCCAAATGCGACAATTTTGTCGATTAATCAAGCCATCAAGATGAAAATGAGCCTCATCGAAATTCAGCCACATTTATGCAAAACGGTCATGGAAAATTTCAACAAAAGAGTGCGTATGTGCCAGCAAAGCCGTGGAGGCCATTTACCCGATATGCTATTCCATCCATAACCCTATACTGTATACTTTATGAATCAATAAAAAATTTACAATTTTTAATTATAAACCTGTGATTTCTATCAAAATTACTTCTTAAGTGAATTTTGGGACACCCTTTATGATTAACTGTAATGGCTTACGATTGAAGTGAATACAGGTGAGGAAGGAGCAAAACCTTATAGCTAGAAAGGGCGGCAGATGTTTCCACAGGTGAGTTTGGCCAGTCCACAGTTACAGGTGCTGACAGGCGTGCTGATTAGTATTGAAGGAAGATAAATAACGATTATGCCAAAAAAGGCAATGAGCAGTCAGTCATTTATTTTTTCCAATCTCAGCCCTCTTACAATTTTTGTAGAATATGTTTGTGCTTTTGAAATCTAAAAAGGAAAACCAAAATTCTCATTATTACCCATGCCTCAAGTTAGGAATTTTCTTCTTGTAATTTTCCCTTTCTTCAAATTTGGTTAAGTGGAGGCAATGCATAGGGGGTGTTGTTTCCTTAATTTGGGTTGTGATTCAGGAGGAGGAACATAGAAGGTAGAGTGAAACGTAGAGCCTCGTGGAAATTTCTGATGAAGTAAAGAGCCCAGAATAATCAAGTGCTTTCAGGTAAACTTTAGTAGCGAGACAAGATGGAGAAACAAAAGCGGCGATGACAACCGGTAATTGGAGGTCCCAGAAAAATTGAGAAACGGGGCCTCGGACCATAGGAAGAATCAGGGTACTCCTGGCCTTCAGCACGGACGTCTCAGGGTCTCTGGCTCATGCTGCTGAGCCGTTATCTGTAGGCTGTGTCACCAGCACCTGAGCCGTGTGGAGACAAAGGCTGCGCCTGCTGATCCCAAGTCCTGTGTGAATCCTGTTCAGTTTTGCAGAATTCCGGGCATTGCCTCAGTTTACTCTGTCATTCATTGAATAATAAACATGGAGCTTTTTTTAATGTTGTTTGCTACATAGTTACCACTTTACACCTGCTCATTGGATCTTAAAAAAGATTATAACTACCATTACACCAGTTCCTTGGTGATCAAACGGAGCTGATAACGGAGAATAATCTGCACATAGTCATGGTAAAAAGCGGCAAATAATGGACACTGTATTTCTTCTGGTGAGTTTGTAGGTTTCCTTGAGATTGGAGAAGTGTTTTAATTATAAATTTCCAAGTGCAAATTTTGTAATCATGACTTGGAGTCATAATTACAAGTTTACTGGTATATCTCCAGGTTATATTACACCACACCTCATGTTATACTTCTTTACAGTGAAGTTTTACATATTTACTGTGGGTATATCTGAAAGTCAGATGTCCAGGTCAGCAATGAGAATGATGTGGCTGGACCCAAAATACTGTTTGAACTTTCTATACGCTCAGCTGCCACTTTCTTAGTGCCGTGACCTACCGGGACCATCCTCCCCTAGCGATTGGCAGTCCTGGCACCGTCTGAAGCAACATCCCTGATGTTTTAGGAAGCCGTGTCCTTCGAGGATGTAGCTGTAGACTTCACCCAGGAAGAGTGGGCCCTGCTGGACACACCCCAGAGAAAACTGTTCACAGAGGTGATGCTGGAGAGCATCAGTCACCTGGTCTCGATTGGTGAGTCTCTTCATATGCACTGTGCATGTATGTATTTATTCAGTCTACACGCATGCCAAAAAGCTTTCCCATTTCTTATTCCAAACTTTGTCTTGATCTTTCATAAGTTTTCCAACTACCTTACAGTCAGTAATCTTCTTTACTTTTTACTTTTATTCAGCTTGTAATCCCGGTAGAATATAATCTTCCTGACATAATTTCATGTCTCCCTTGCTACTCAATATCCAACTCTCACACAGTGGTGGGAACTCACATTTATTTTTTAAATACTCACCAGAGGATATTTTTCCCATTGATTTTTAGAGGTAGTAGAAGGGGATGGAGGAAGGGGAGGGGAGAGAGAGACTCATTAAATGGCAAATGAGTCTCACATCAATGTGAGAGAATGTCGATTGTTTGCCTCTCTCACGTGCCCCAATCAGGGCCTGGGATTGAATCTGCAGCTGAGGTACATGCCCTTGATGTGGATTCCTTTGGTCTGAGGGCCAGTGCTCCAACCACTGAGCAAACTGGCCAGGGCAGAAACTCACTGTTTCTGAATGTGTAAGTAAATGTATTATTTAAAATATATAAATGTTTATTTTGCTGCAGGTACTGTTAGATCAGAACAAAGTATTAAAAATAACAAGACACTGTTTTCCACATAGAACTTAGATTTTTTTTCTGGTAGAAGTTGCATTTGGCCATAATAGTCAAGCATTGTGAAAACTTATATTTTCTCACTGAATGAAAATATTCATGATTCTACAGTCTGTCTTTGAACTTGGGCATGGGCATCAGCCCATGTCCTTAATATGTCTTTAATATCTCCTGGGACAAGTTTAAGAGATGTCATTGGCTGACTACCCATGTTACTTTCAGTATACTCTTTCCTGGGCTGATTTTCAGAGGTTATCTTACTTTTCTCATTTAGTTGACCCTGTTTTGATCACCATATACTGTTGTCAGCACAGAACTCAAAATCTATGTATCATTTACATACAAACAGGCAGTCAGCTCTACAAATCATACGTGATTTCCCATTTCAAGGAGGGAGAGCCACTTTCAAGAGAAGGGATTGGTGTTCTGCAAGGCCCGAGTCCAGGTGAGCACCAGAGGCTGTGCTTCAGGAAGAGAAAGAGCCTTGTCAGTAAGTAAGTGGGCTCTAAGGATGACTAGTGGAGATAACTGAGGTTAGTGATGTTTTGTAAAACGTAGGGGACAAATTCTTGAGAGGTCATTATATTTTGCAGGTAGCAACTTCTCTTCAAGTGTCTCTCATTATCTTTAACTTTAGGGAACATCATATTCATGTACTTAGAGGAGTTCTCTATTTACATCCCCCCCCCCCCCGGATCTCCATAGCTGGAGTTGAGCCCTATAACTCCATCTCGGCACCCCCACCACCCTGGAGCACTCTGATCGTGCCTTCGTGGTTGACAGCAAGGCCATCTATGATATCTATGGGAGAAACCTCGATATTGTGCACCCAACCGACACTAACCTTAACCACCTTATTAGCCAGATTGTGTCTTCCATCATGGCTTCCCTTGAGTTTGAGGAGGCATTGAAAGTTGATCTTACAGAATTCCAGACAGACCTTGTGCCACAACCCCAATCCTCTTTCCTCTGACCACATAGGCCCCTGTCGTCTCTGCTGAGAAAGCCTGCTATGAGCAGCTTATTGCAGTGGAGATTACCAATGTGTGCTTTGAGCCAGTCAACTAGATGGTGAAATCTGACTCTTCCTTAGTAAATGCTAAGCTTACTGCCTTTTCTGATTTGGTGACGTAGTTCCCAAAGATGTTAGTGCTGCCATTCCCACCATCAAGACCAAGCATACCATCACCTCTGTGGATTGCTACCCCACTGGTTTCTGAGGTTGCATTAATTAGCAACCTACCACTGTGATGCCTGGTGGAAATCTGGCCAAAATTCAGTGAGATACGTGCATGCTGAGCAATGCCACAAACCACCACAGCCGTTGCTGAGGTGTGGGCTCTCCTGGACCACAGTTTGACCTGTTGTATGCCAAGCATGCCTGTGTTCACTGGCATGTGGGTCATGGAGTGGAGGAAGGAGAGTTTTCTGAGGCCCATGAGGACGTGGCTATCCTTGATAAGGACTGTGAGGAGGTTGGAGGATATAGTGCTGAGGACGAGAATAAGGAGAATAGTATTAACTTGTCTGCTGTCGTTTTATACTCCATTGTCTTGGGACTGTCTTATTTTGTGAAACCGTCCATTGTGTCTGACTTATCAATAAAAGTGATGTGTTTATGTGTTTTTTTAATTCACAAAATGTCCTTTTCATGGACCTGTTCTATGAATATGTCCCTCTCTTTTCCTCCCCAACTTGCCATCTTCATTTTATTTTTCTCATATTGTAGTCCAGAAAATGTCAGTTGATGTCTGTAATGTGTTTTTCCTTAGAGTATTCCTTACTTTGATGTGCCTTCCCATTTATGTGTTAATATTTAAAACAAATGGGCTGTGGGTCTCTTCAACACTTTAATCTCCCTAATAATTCTCTCCCCCCCCCCCCCCCCAGTCATTTCAGAAAGGAGAGATGATTTTAAAAAACAAGAAATATTATCCACTCAACATTTTCACAAGAAGGACACATCCCTGATCAGTGCAGTGGTAAGCTTTATCGGTGTAAACCTGTTCTTCCAAATAAAGAACTGGAAATTAAATAAGTTATGAGTTTGGCTTAATTACCTAATTAAAATTGGGATCAAGGGCTCTCACAGCAGAAAGTTTTGTTAGTTGGGTTTTAGGAAAGAACTTAAACTGAAGTCAGAACCATAACCTGAGGTCTTATTAAGAGACAATTGTGCCCTAGCCAGTTTTGCTCAGTGGGTAGAGCATTGGTCTGTGGACCAACCAAGGGTCCTGGGTTCTATTCCAGTGATGGGCACGTACCTCAGTTTCAGGCTCCTCCCTGGCTTGGTCAGGGCATGTGCAGGAGGCAACCAATTGATGTGTTTCTCTGACATCAATATTTCTCTCTGTCTTTTCCTTCTCCCACTCTGTCTAAAAATCAATGGAAAAGTATTCTTGGGTGAGGATTAAAAAAAAGAGAGACAATTGTATAATTCTGGCTCATATACTCAGTCTTTGAAGCAGAATGTATAAAAATTAATCAGATATCTCTGCAGTTGGGATGCCACAAAAGAAAATCTTTATGCACGTGATTATATAACTAATAGGAACAATTTTGAATGGAGTCTACTGGTATCACTGAATGATTACTCTAAAACTTATATGTAGAGAAATGAATGAAGGAATGAATAAATATGGATAAACCTTTAACAGTCTCATTTCCTTTCAAAAAGCAGAGATTTTACACTCAAGAAGAGCCTTTTGAATGTAATGATTTGGGAGAAAAGTGGACTAAAATCTTAACATTGACTCGGTGCATGATACCTCACATGGGAAAGAAACCCCATATCATACAAGAATTTAGAAAAGTGATCAATTACTTTAATCAACATAAACAAATTGATGCTAGAAATAAATTGTTTGAATGTCAACGTGGGAATGCTTTGTTTCAACTCTCAGCCATTAGACAACACAGTAATACTCAAAATGGAGAGAAGTCATTTGAATGTCATGTATGTGGGAAATCCTTTGGTAACAGTTCTAACTGTAGACGACATGAGATTATTCACACTGGAGTGAAACCACATGGATGTCATCTATGTGGAAAGGCCTTCACTCATTGTTCTGACCTAAGAAAACATGAAAGAATTCACTTTGGAGAGAAACCATATGGATGTCATCTGTGTGGGAAAGCCTTCAGTAAAAGTTATAACCTTAGCCGACATGAGATGATTCACACTCGAAAGAAACCACATGAGTGCCATCTATGTGGGAAGACCTTTACTCAGTATTCTGACCTTACAAAACATGAAAGAACTCACTTTGCAGAGAAACCATATGGATGTCATCTATGTGGGAAGACATTCAGTAAGCTGCCTTACCTTAGACAACATGAGAGAACTCACAATGGAGAGAAACCACATGAATGTCATCTATGTGGGAAGGCCTTTACTCATTGTTCTCACCTTAGAAAACATGAGAGAACTCACACTGGAGAGAAACCTTATGAATGTCATCTGTGTGGAAAAGCCTTTACTGATTCTTCTGTCCTGAAACGACATGAGAGAACTCATACTGGAGAGAAGCCATATGAGTGTCATATATGTTGGAAAGCCTTCACTGATTCTTCTGTTCTTAAACGACATGCGAGAACTCACACTGGAGAGAAGCCATATGAGTGTCACCTCTGTGGGAAAGCCTTCAATCACTCTTCTGTCCTTAGACGACATGAGAGAACTCACACTGGCGAGAAACCATATCAATGCAATATATGTGGGAAAGCCTTCAACAGAAGCTATAACTTTGGACTGCATAAGAGAGTTCACACTGGAGAGAAACCATACAAATGTTATCTATGTGAAAAAGCCTTCAGTAAATATTTTAACCTTAGACAGCATGAGAAAACTCACACTGTAAAGGTTATAAATGTGGAAGATTCACTACCCGTTGATTCAGACTCTAAACACCCTTGAGGGACTCACATGTTGGGGGAAAAAGCAGTTTGTAATCCGTGTGGAAGAGCCTTTATTCATCCTTATTTCATTCAATTGAAGTTAAATAAATATGGGGAGAATCCATATGTATGGCAGCCACTTGACAAATTCTGTACACAGTGGGCTGACTTAGAGAAAAACTTAAAGCAGTGAATGTGTTGGGATCTTTATTACACAGTTCTGTTTTAAAAAATGCCCTGGTGGATGGAGTTAGAGGGGCATGGTGCCAGCAGTGTGGCAGGGGGTGAGCTGGCAGAGTGGGAGACTGCAGTGGGGCAAGGGCTGGGGAACTGTTGTGAGGAGGTGGGGGCCTGCAGGTCCTCAGTACAGCAGGATCTGGACTCCTGCCTGGACCAGGGGGCACTGCTGGCTAGAGCCACTGTCACCACCCACATGGTGGCAGGGATTTCAGAGCACTGTGATGTACCCCATCAGCTGCATCACTGAGTGACTTGGACTGGCTCTGAGTCTGACCTGGGGCTGACCTGACCCCTGGTCCCTGTCCTCAGTCAGGATTCAGTCTGAGAGCTGGAGACCACATGAGTTCCTTCCTGGCTCGTGCCACCACCACGCAATTTGAATGATACTCCATGCCAGCAAGGTCTGGGCTGGAAGTTGATCTACATCAGGATCCAGAGCCCATTTCTAAACATCAGTGAGATCTTAAGACTCTGGTATGGGAATCTATTAGACCAAGTACTTGATCTGAGCTGGAATTAAACAGGAATAGGGTGGGATGGGATGAGAATAAGTAAGTACTATCTTGATTAAGGTGAAGCCAACTGGCATGAAGCAGACCCTTAGTGGCCTGAGATGGTCTCTGAGCAAGTGCTTTTATAAGCTTCTTGCTGTGTTTTGCCTTTAGAGTGATGAGGCAGGAACCAGAATCTGGGGTTTCTCAGCTAGACAGAAGATTTAGTTCATCTAACCCAGTGGTCAGCAAACTCATTAGTCAACAGAGCCAAATCTCAAAAGTATAACGACTGAAATTTCTTTTGAGAGCCAAATTTTTTAAACTTAAACTATATTGGTAGGTACATTGTTATTAACTTTTTTTTTAATTTTTAATTAAATCTTTTTTTTAATTAAATCTTTATTGTTCAGATTATTACATTTGTTCCTCTTTTTTCCCCCCATAACTCCCCTCCTCCCAGTTCCCACCCCACCCTCCGCCCTCACTCCCCACCCACTGTCCTCATCCATAGGTGTACAATTTTTGTCCAGTCTCTTCCCGCATCTCCCACACCCCTTTCCCCCCCAAGAATAGTCAGTCCATTCCCTTTCTATGTCCCTGATTCTATTATGATCACCAGATTATTTATTCACTTGATTCTTAGATTCACTTGTTGATAGATGCATGTTTGTTGTTCATAATTTGTATCTTTACCTTTTTCTTCTTCTTCCTCTTCTTAAAGGGTACCTTTCAGCATTTCATATAATCCTGGTTTGGTGGTGATGAACTCCTTTAGCTTTTCCTTATCTGTGAAGCTCTTTATCTGACCTTCAGTTCTGAATGATAGCTTTGCTGGATAAAGTAATCTTGGTTGTAGGTTCTTGGTATTCATCACTTTGAATATTTCTTGCCATTCCCTTCTGGCCTGCAAAGTTTCTGTTGAGAAATCAGCTGACAGTCGTATGGGTATTCCCTTGTAGGTAACTGGGTTTCTTTCTCTTGCTGCTTTTAAGATTCTCTCTTTGTCTTTTGCTCTTGGCATTTTAATTATGATGTGTCTTGGTGTGGTTCTCTTTGGATTCCTTTTGTTTGGGGTTCTCTGCGCTTCCTGGACCTGTAAGTCTATTTCTTTCACCAGGTGGGGGAAGTTTTCTGTCATTACTTCTTTAAATAGGTTTTCAATATCTTGCTCTCTCTCATCTTCTGGCACCCCTGTAATTCTGATGTTGGTACGCTTGAAGCTGTCCCAGAGGCTCCTTACACTATCTTCGTATTTTCGGATTCTTTTTTCATTTTGCTTTTCTGGTTGGGTGTTTTTTGCTTCTTCGCATTTCGAATCTTTGCCTTGATTCTTGCGCTCCTCTGGTCTGCTGTTGGGAGTCTGTATAGTATTCGTTATTTCAGTCTGTGTATGCTTAATTTCTAGTTGGTTCTTTATCATAACATCAAGGGTCTCATTGGATTTCTTGAGGATCTCACTACATTTATTGGTGGCTTCTAGACAGTTCTTAAGAGACCTTAAAAGTGTGGTTCTGAACTCAATATCCTCCATTGACAGTTTTGTCCTGTTTCTTTGTCTCCGCATTTTTTATGCTTTCTTGGTGCACCCCCTAGTGGTCTTTGTGCGCAGTCTTGTTGTAGTTAAGCCTTGATTGTTGTCAGTAATACCAGGCATGATTTGACCTCCAGGCTAACTGGCTATGAGAGTCCGTTGTGTCTGCAGTGGGAGAGCTTCTGTGCTGGATCTCTAGGGCGGTGCTAATCTAGCGTTTGCCTGAGGCTATCCAGCAAATGGATCTGCACAGGGCTTGGGCGGGGCAGGTCCCCAGGGATGTACCGGGCGGGCCGGAGCAAGCAGTTATGGCTGCTCTCAGTTCTGTCCCTAGGGGCTCTGCCTCACAGAGTCCCAGCAACCGCTGCAAACCTCGGAGAGAAAGCTGCCTTCAAGTTCCGACCGAAGCCAGACAGTCCCGCTTCTCCCGTTTGAGTCTGGGTCCCTAGAGACTCGCCCGGATCTGGAGCTCAGAGTCTGAAACTCCCTCCTGATTGAAAACAACAACCGCGCCCTCCGCCTCCGGCCCGCTCTGCGTACACTCCGCACCTTAGTATTTCACTTCAGCACTGCGCCTCCTCTGATTCTGGGTATGATATTCTCTTTCCTCCTAGTTGTAGAATTTCCACTCAGGCAGCCTTCCTGTGGTTCTGAATGATGTCCGTTCCGTCTTTTAGTTGTTTTTTGAAGTGGTTGTTCGAGGCAGCAATCTTGGTTTCTCCTCCATTGTTATTAACTTAATTAGGGTACTCCTGCGCTTAGGAAGAGCCTAAGAGGCTCAACGGGGCCAAAGAGCCGCATGTGGCTCACGAGCCGCAGTTTGCTGACCACAGATCTAACCCATGAATGAATGGAGGAATCAGATCAGAGGAAGTCTATGAATGTAATCAGTGCAGGAATGCCTCTGTTTATCATTTATCCTTTACACAAATTAGCAAACTGCCGAGGAGAAAAATTCTAGCTCTGTAACCATTGTGCACTATTCTACTTAGCACCAGTCTTGGTGTACACAAAAAAAATGTAATGTCAGTTAACTGCTAAAACAAGAAATAAATGGAAAAAAATCCAGTAGCGGGAGGGCAAAGCCTCTTTAAGATTAGCAGATAATCTGGAAAATTCTATGGAAAGTGGTAAGACGTTACTTATTAATCAGCATTTGTAAAGCAGGTGAGGATTTACATTATTGAATACTCAGTGTAACAAATGATGGAATCTTCAGTGACTTCTCATTGCTTAGCACTGGTTATCTCACTGAGAAAGGGGATAAACTTTTAGATGGATTTCACATTAGAAATTTTAGACTGGCTAAAATTATTGGACCATTAAACAAACAATTCAGCAAAATATCCAGAATTTTACCAAAGACTTCTTCCTGAAAACATAAGATAAAATTCACAATTGTTAAACACTCTGGGAGTGTAGAATGCACAATTTTGGTAGAAATAATATGGTCAAACTAAAATGATTAGTACTGAAAAAATGCAAGTATTGGTGGTAAAAATTAGGTTGGTTAAATTCGTTTGCTTACACTGGTATTGCTGGAAGCCGGTCCATCCTTGCTGCTTGACACAGTCGCTGCAGGAAAGAAACATCTACACAGCATATGTTTCAAGGGACCTGGTGTATATAGCATACTGTTCTTAATATGTTTGCTCCCCTTAGCGCTGTGTGTTTTAACCAAGGTCACCTCTCCAAGAAAGGTTGTTTCCCCAGGTAGGGATTTTTCCCTGAAGTCAGGGAGGGGATGCCTCTCCTAGAAAGGTTGTTTCCCCAGGTAGGAATTTTTCCCTGAAGTCAGGGAGGGGATGAAACTCCTTAACTAAGTGCCAGGCGGGCAGTTAATCACTACAAACAATCATGCTTAAGCTACATAATCTTTACTCCCTGGAATGGAGATAAGAAACACCCTAACCTTTGTAATAGAAATTGACAGGATTAAAATCAACTGGGATAAATACGGATGTAACAAGACAATAAACAGCAGAACTTCACTGGAGATCCAGACCAGAACTTGGCTGGAGATCCTGGCTAGGCTGCTGATCAACTGAACACTGTCTCCGTGTCCTTCCTTCTTCGCCGACTCCATCCACACCTTTGGGGACCCCTGGACCTGCTGGGGTTGGACTCCGGCATGGTATAAACACATGTATTTGGGTGAGTTATAAAATATTAAACGTGAGTTAAAATATAGAGGATACAAAGCCATATTCTGACTGTATTATTAATGTCATATGTATTGAAATTTTAAATGAAAGAATGATTTACCTCTATTTTTACATATAAAATGTTTAAATCAGAATTTTGACACCCTAGCCACTTAGTCTCAGTGGAGAGAGTGTCAGCCTGTGGACCCTTTGTCCTGGGTTCGATTCCAGTCAAGGGCACACTTGAGTTGCAGGTTTCTCCCCTGCCGGGGCACTGGTCAGGGCTCATGCAGGAGGCAACCAATCCATGTGTTTCTCCCACATCAATGTTTCTCTCTGTCTTTCCTTCTCGCTCCCACTCTCCCTAAAAATGGCAAAATATCTTGGGGGGAGGATTAATTTTTTTTTTAAAGAATTTTGACGATAATAATGACATAAAAATTCTCCACAGTGAAAAACATGGAATCACATTATAACTTTGATGGTTTCTCATAGGAACCTGCTTTAATTATCTGCACTTACCTAATTTTTTGTGGATGCAATTGTATCAGACAACCACATGTAGGTCCTTTGTCATGACCTGTCTCTCTTACCATATGGTACTGCTGGCCCTGATGGAAATCACACCTTTTGTTCCTCTGCCTCGTATTTCTCCCTTACTGCTGAAGTGTGAAAAGCCCGGTGTCAAAGCTCACATAGGCATAGCCAGGCTCTC